AAGGGAAACCATCAACAAAATGATGACAACCTACTAAAGGGAAGAAGATATTGGCAAGTAATATAACCAATAGGGGGTTAATATCCAACATATACGAACAGCTCATATAACATCAAAAAAGCAAACAGCCCAATTTAAAAACTGGGCTGAAGAACTTTCCAAAGAGGAAATGCAGATGGCCAATTGGCTCATGAAAAGATGCTCAGTGTTGCTAATCAGAAGGGAAATGCAAATCAAAACCACAATGAGGTTTCGCCTCAGAACTGTCAGAATCACTATCATCCAAAAGAACACAAATAGCAAATGTTAGCAAGGATGTGGAAAAAAGGGACTCTCCAACACTGTCAGTGGAAACGTAAACTGGTGCAGCCACTGTGGAAGAGTCTTTACTCTGGTGTCTGGAATGCCCCCTGTATGATAGAAAACCCCCAGCAATACACTCAGTCTCAGAGAAAATCTGCCGATCAACTCACCACACTGGTCCACACAGAGCTGCCAAACAAAATCCTATTCAGGAAAGGTCTAGCTAGAACTTCTCAAACATATAAAAAAAAAGTGGCAGAACCCTTATCTACATCCATTTTGTCTTAAATACGGACAGAACTAGCAACATGAAAAGCTGATCCCAAAGAGGAGAGCTCAAGGAATAGAAAAGAACAGCTAACTACTGCGCTGAGAGAGATTTAGGAAGACAGCACAGCTACTAAGCAAGAACAGAAGACCAGGAAAGCAGATCACACCACATGCTTACCTCAGCACCCTCCCCTACGAGCCCCAGAAAAACAGGGACCAAGATGTAAACCCACAAGGGAAAAGAAAAAAGAGTAGCCTAAAGATGTCAGCAGTGACTCAGAAGGTGGAAAGCAGCAGCCAGACGTGGTAACTGAGGAACAGCCCAGGAAAAACACTCTCATAAACACAGACAAAAATCTTCAACAAATACCAGCAAATCAAATCTAACAATGTATAAAAGAACTATATACCACAGCAAGCAGGATTTATTCTGGGTATGCAAGGCTAGTTCTATATTCAAAAGGTCAATTGATATAATCTATT